CGGGATATATATGAGCTGGTGAAAAGGGGGGACATTTCAATCCARGAGGGATGGGAAGGGGTAAAGAGCGGGTTTGTCCCAAACGTAGTGCACTCTTCAGAAGAAGTGGTGAAATCAGATAGGCGGTGCTTGTGCTGAGCTCCTCTAGTGAGGTGAGTGGTGATGAACTCTACTAACCAAACGTACTTTACTAAGTGAACTTGGTGTGACAGAAGGGAGAGCAACACTCCTGTTGTGAACRGCCTCCCACATTGTTTTGGACACCAGAACAGACCCTGGAAAGAAATGTTCTGTTCCAAATAACCTTTCAGAATTGGGGGCTACAACCTGAAGGAGAGCGAGTGAGGGTGCATGTGGATATTGTAAGGAGACAGGAAGCAGAAATGAGGGGCTGCACAACACAGGAGAGAGTATACAGAGAGCTGAATGGGCTGGCACATGCCAGGGTACTGTACATGTCCTCTTTTCAGTAAATCCATAGCTCCCTGCTGGCTTTTAAAGCCACAGGATGGGTAYTCAGTCATATGACAAATGGCAGACAGAGAGAAGACAAGAGGATATCTTGGTTTGTGTCAGCTGTTTCTTTCCARGAAGGTCTAAAGGCAGATACCATTTCCTCATAAGGTCAGTTCCACAGGAGAAGTTTACTGAYATGGTATGCACATTTCTGAGTTTTCTTTCTTATGTTCTTGAATCTAGTTCAATAGCAAAGAAATTCTGTGGGATTTAAAGAGAAAAACAAAATTTAAATTATCCCTCCCTTCATAGTGCTTTTCTTGCTGTGCTGAACCAGGAATCTAAGTGGCAACTCCAGTAGGGATTATTCAATGCAATTTTTACTCATTTACTGCCTGTGTGAGTACCTTGAAAGTACCCCAAATTCAGGGCTTTCCAGCAGAATTAAATGATCAAGAGCATAAAGAGAGAACCATGTCCTCATGGTGTTATGTATTGAGGCTGGGGTGTTGCAGCCAAGTGGGACACACCAACATTTCTGTCTCAGTGCTGTGCTGACCTTACCAACCAGGTCACAAGGAGGAATGGAAAGGAGGGAGGAAAACCAGAAACCCAACAAAATAAAAAACTTGAAAAGCTTAACTCAGGTGCATCAGACATCCTAAAAGGTGAGATTTGCTCTTAAACAAGTTAAATAGCATGGAAAACAACAGCTTCCATTAGTCCTTTCTGCAGTTAAGTGTCATTTTCTGTCTTGGCRTCTGTGGAAGAGAACTGGCACTGGGAAGGTGGAACACACAGCAGGAGTGTCTGAGCAGGTGGAAAGGAAAGCCTCAAGACACACTCAAGGGTAAAATTTGTTTTCCTCCATGTTTTAGTTTGACAAAAGAGGATCCATCTCAGGTTGGCCATCATGGRATGGCAGCTGCCTCACAAAAGATCTGTGTAGGTGGATGTTTTCTGGGAATGCCATTCACCACTTAGAAGCTTTGCTTCTGCCAAGTTTTAACCCAAGCTTTTGAAGTGCAATAGGGTGACTGTGCTCCTGTAGCAAATTAGAGAAGTTCAGCCTATTGAAAGCAAACAAACAAAACTATAGTGACTTTTTTTACTTGTGTTTGAAAGCTTTATACACCAAACTGCAATGGGCAGGAGGGGGGTTAGGTAAAAGCTAYAGGAAGCATCTAGTGTTTATTTTAGGCCTCTTGAGTAGAGAAAAAGAAAATATTTGTTACAGCTTTTTAATCTGCCCTGTCTACAGAAATACGGGTCTTGATTGCTGTTGAGTTCAGACTGTTTCTCCTTCTGAACCTGTCTCACAGTTTGCAGCAGCAAATGGGCTGTATTAAAAAACCTGTGGTTTCCATATTGAAGCTGTGAAAAAGAAACAAACCTGCAGCAAATCCAACCCAGCAACCCAAAGCCTGAACACTTTTGTTGTCAGGGTTCTAGGAACAATTTCAGTTCCTGGCTCTGCAGGGGAGCAGCAGCACTACACCTGCTGGGAGGGCACAGGGAGCAAATGCCAGGAAGGGGGTGGCAGTGGCCTGGTGCTTTTTGGTGAGCTTGTCATWGCTTGGATAGGCTGTGAACAGATCCAACGCCTTGTGCTAAAGGCCAGTGAATGCCAGGCACTTGGGAGTGAATTGAGTGCCCTGAAGATTAAAAACTATCCCCTTTCCAAAACCTGTTTCTGGGTGAGCAAAGGTGAGTGCAGGGAGCATCCCAGGGGCTTGGCGGATGCCAGGGCAGAGCACACRGTTTGCTCGCACCAGCTCAGTCAGTTGCATTTCACAAAGACACGGACAGACAGTACCCAAGGGTTGGTTTCATTGTTCCCTGGATGGAAAGTCCACCAAGCAGCTGCTTCAGCTTTTTAGGGGCCAGCTGGACACCCCTCTGTCTTGGGGTGTCTGGCTGAGGATGGCAGTGGCCCCAAGGGCAGAGCTGGAGCGTGACATGAAGGRCAGTGAGGAGTTGGATCAGGAGTTAGATCAAACATTTTAGCAATAGTCAAATTCTGTAATTCCCTGTGCGAGAACCTGGCCAGAGGGGAAAGATCACTTTTCATGAGACAGCCAATATTTTATTTAATGGGTTTTGGACATTCCCCTTTACTGCTCCCAGGGAGAAATTCCAGAAAGCCTAAGCCAGTAAGTGCATTCAGGCCTTCAGAGTAAATCTTCAWTTTAAATACAGAAGTGTTGTAATTCTAAAGAGGAACAGTACAGAAGAAAATGTACACAGTCTTAACTACTTAGAGGTAATAAATTGTTATATTAAATTATAGAGAAATCATTATCTACATCTTTTTCTAATTCCTTGCATTTTCTAGACAGCTTATTAAAATATAGGAAATGTAGATTCATCTGTACAAAATTTGGAATGTTTTTTCTAAGATGAAGAACTTATAGGATATGCTAAGAATTCTTTTCTAACAACTGGTTTTAATGCTTTGACTTAGAGGGACTTTGAGAAATCAGAAGGTGATACCTCTCACAGGATAAAGGTCAGGAGCTCTTATACTCTAGGACAAAAAGACTAAAAGAAATCAAAAGCTAACTTTCTGTGGTCTCTGCCACATGTTAAAAACAATCTGCATGTTAGACTGAACTTGCTCAGAACCTCCAGAATAAAAGCGTACTATACACTGTCCTCGCTTTGTTATGCACTGTAACGAAATGTGAAAATAACGCTGTATTTAGCTGTCTGTATGTGACTGAAAATATGCTTGTATTTAGCAAAATGGTTACTACGTGATAATGTGAAATTCAAAACTTGTAAAGAAATTTTGGTGGTTTTTTTTTTTTCCTTTCCCCCTGCCCATTCTCTCAGAGTTRCCTGCTCCCTGTTCCTGCTCTGTACTGCAGCCAGGGCTGGATCCACCATTCCCAGGCATTGCCTCACAGCCACTGGTCACCCTTCCCTGCAGACTGCCTCACTCTGCAGAGCCAGCCCTCTSCCTTGCTGAGGAAAACCAGAACAACTACTGTGAGACAAAACCAGCCCCTGCTCCCASCAGTTGTAGCCACTGCAGCCTTGGTCTCTCTGGGAGGCCTCTGCAGGACTGGTGGCACAGCAACTACAAGAGCAAGGGCCAGGGCAGACCTGGGAAAGGATTAGTCATTGAGCTCTTCTCTGAGTCTTGGGAGTCTTTATTCACCTCAACTCAAACACACAAACACCAAACCCTGAGTTACAATGGCCACAGCCTTCTCCCAGCCCCCAGGAGGCACACACCTTTGAACACTGGAGCAATTTCAGTCCCAAGGCTGTCACCTGTCCCCCATGACACGCAGCAGGTCCCTGGCAGCAGCACATGGCACTAATTTTGCTTGGCACTGCTTTTTCTGTGCAAAAATGCTTAACTGGTGGTTTAGTTGTRCACAACAAAGGCAGGCAATTGCTGCCTTAGGACCAGCCGGGGGTGTAGGGGGGAGCACAGCCAGTTGGGATCTCATTAATCCAAACTGAAAAAAACTAAGAGAAATCAAGATGTGTTTGCAGCTGCCTTTCTATCATTGCTGATGCCAGAAAAAGAAAATGGAAAGCAGCAGCCTGCAGCCTCACATCCTGCTGCAGACACCTACTGGAGAATACATGAGAGCTCCACATTCCTCTGCTGCAGCCAGACACGGAAACAAACAGCATCGCCCTGGGGAAGGAACAGATGAGCCCGAGTAATAACTGGTGACTGGTGCTAAGGATTTACCTGCTCCGTGCCCTTCCCTGCAGCTCACTCTGGCAGGCACAGTGCTGGTAAATCACTTGCTTTCAGTCACCAATTCARATGTGCTGACTCACACTCCCCCTTTCATTCACGCCAGGATCCAGCAGCCACACTTTTCCACTTTTCACGTCTGCTGCTTCAACGGAATTTTTCACTCCCCCATGCCCAGCTAAGGGAGAGAAACATTATAAAAAATCACACATCACATTCATRCTTTCACACAAAGAAGGATGCACAAAAACAGCTGTTTGCCACAACTGTTTAGTTTTACTATTTTAATATCATGAAATAAAAGTACAAAAAATTTACAGGTATATTGTTTCTTACATGAAGATTGAACAGTTAACATTTGCATTTATTTTGCAGTGAAACCTGTACTCTCAGTCACAGAATGTGATTATTAGCCACTGACATCACCACTGAGCATTTCGTTTTAGAAAGAAATTGCAAAGGAAAAGGCAACAATCTCGCAAGGCTTCGTAAGGACTAAAACAATACTCCAACTGTAACACCAGAGATCACGTTCCAGTCAACCATCCCAATATAACACAGGTTTCACCACCTGGGAGGCTGAGAGTGTTCAGACATTTGACATGGACATCTGGGCCAAGGGGTCAGAAATGGGCTCTCACAAGCTGTTTGGGTGTCCTTGTTCAGCGCGTTCGCCAAAACAACCAGTGTGTGCACGTGTATGAGCAAGAAAGGGTGAGACCTGCAGGCTTGACATCCCCTGTGCTGTTCACTCCTTTCCCACTGCTCTCTGAGGACAAATCACAAACTGCTGTAAAATGCTGAGAGCTCAGGAACAGGCTAACCCACAGTTACTACAACAAGTTTATCCAAAGCGGATATCCAGGAATGCTTGCAGACTGGTGCTGCCATTAACTGACTGACAAACCCCAAGATTCCACTCTATTTTTGTTGTTTCCTAGAACATTACAGCTGCTTGTCTTCCCAGCCCAAGTCAAAGTTAACTTCATCAGCTGTACAGAGATGAAAAAGAAAGCCCCTGCATTGCCTTAGCCTAACATGTCAGGCTCCATTCTATACATGCTGCTCAGCTTTTCAGGCAGGCTTTCAGGTAGAAATTTATTTATGACAGACTGGTCTGATCAAAATACTATGTCCTTTGCTGGACTGTGTGGTGCCTTTTCAAATAAGTCATTTCTTGAAGCATGCATGAAACCAAATTTTGAGTTTACAAATAAATAAAATGGTGCTCACCATTAGTTTTTATATATTTTACCATTTACTGAAATGCTGAAAGTAACTCAGTCCTGAATGAAGTTTGGGGGTGTTTAAATAAAAAATATTTGGAAATTGAAACCACATTTAAAATTGGCAAAACTATGCTTTGTTTTTGGAAGGGTCTTGCTTGTTTCTTCTCTTTACGTCCCAATTATAAACTCTAGCCATATCTGAGGGTGTGTAATTAAGGAAACAGCTCATGCTATCAGAAAAGAGRAAAAAAAAGSTATTTTTAAAAAAGGAGAAAAAGCAGGCTGGCTATTTAGTTGTAACAGTCCGTTTAATGAAAGGCTGACTTGGTGCAAAGCCTCAGCACTCTCGAACACTGGTAACAGTTGCTAACTGCAGGACTTACTTATTTAAACAAACCTTCAAAAAGATACTGCAGAGCAGTACGCTTTTAGTTTTGCCTAACTCTTTGCTGATTTCAGTCAAGCTGCCCATATCAGCTGTATTTGCCTTTTTCACACATCCCAAACTCCTGCAGCACTAAGACAGCTCAAGTGTCAACTTGAAAGAACAAGCAGTTKTGCCTTCATTAAACTGAATCTAATGCTTTAGTCAATAGCTCCACTCGTTAAAATAGTTTTTAAGTAGAAAGTATAAAAAGGAACACCCCACACCCAGGAGGAGGGTCATAACAATATAAAGAAATATAAAAAACAGCGAGCACAGCCTAAGCCAGTTCCAGGCTTGCTGCAGCAGGGCTTGTGCTGCTTGGAGGCAGCTGCAAAGGGTGTGATGAGCAACAGCCCAAAGAACAATATTCACATGCTCTACAGGAAGGGTCACGCTGCTTTAAAGCGGTCACCTGGGCATCAATCCACACTTCCAGCTCACTCTGCACTCAGTCTGGGTTACAACCACTGCAGTAGGTATCATGAGGACACAAATGCAAGCTTTGTAGCTCTCAGAGAGCAACCTCAAACTCAGCCCTGTAAACACAATATTCCATTTCATTGTTAGGATAGTAAAAGTTCACAGATGCTGCAGAATTTTGAGGGCAACCAGTCTAAGATAAAAACACAGACAGTCTAAGATAAAAACAATGGAAGTTGGTCATTACCTGGATTCACATACATCTCCTCCCCACATGAACAAAAAGGATACTGACTTCTGTAGTGGTGAACTGATCTCTGAGAAAATCCAGGTCTTCCTCTAGAAGATCGAGATTTTTTGTGGCTGTTGAYAAATTCTTCTCTAACAGAGCCTGAGCTTCATCAATATCATATTCAAGCATCACATTGGCCTAAAAAAAGAAAGACTGATAAAAGCTCTCACTCTTGCATTGTAAGGACTGAGCCACACCTTATTTTACRCTGTGTTCGTAACTAAGCACATTGGTGACAGACTGTCCTGACAGGCCAAGACAATAAGATTCAGGACAGGCAATGTCAGAAGCCACTTGAAGCCTCCACCCCTTCAGTAACTGAGTARTAAATTTCCCTAGGGACTTAAAGAAATTCTCTTCCTATAACAAAGCAAGGAGAGATTTCTTCCCCTATGGATCACATTCAGCCTTTCAGGTGTCAGCATCTCATCCTCACTGTATTTGAAAAGTGACAGACCATATGTTCGTTAGCAGCACCTTTCAGGTGCCACATAATTCTAGAAAAAGTTCTTGTTGGATGCAAGATAAACCTCAGGCTCTCTGTGTGGAATGCTGACAAACAGCTGGCACTGTCAGTAACAAGAGCTACTACAGGTATTTAAAGATACAACAGGAATAAAAATCTTCTCTGATGCTGTGGTGGTAGTTTTTAATCCACACAGGGTTGTTTCAATAAGAATCCACCACAGGACAAGATAAAAGGGCAGTATCAGGTGAAAATGCACCAATGAAGCTTTGTCCCGTCCAAGAACTGTGCCCGGAGCAGAGCCACATTCTGTGACTGRCAGGATCCCAGGGAAGGCTAGGCTGAGCTGCTAGAGCTGGATAAGCTGTTCYTTAAAGCAAGTGGAGGGCAGAGATCCCCAGTAACATGCACAGCACAACACAGACTGTAAGCAACGAGCAGGAAAAGGGCAGGAGGCCAGGAACACCTAAATAAAATGAACTCTGTGAGGCATTTCATTATTGCTTTTCAGTATGTACTATCAATAGTATRAACTTTCTCTGATGTTCTGTTAGAAAATAAGCCTGGGATACTCCATATAAGTCAGTGTTTGTGAATTCTGAAGACAATCTCCGGAAAGCAAGAGTTATCACAAAAATCTCTTTTTATGACAGAAGTAGAAGAGGTTGGGAGCAACTGTTCAATTAGCCTACATGCTTCGTGTGTCAACAGTGTTTCTGTCCTAAGCAAGAGGTTTTGTTTGGCAGCCAGCACTGGGATTTAGGAACATCCGTGATTTAAGTCTTAAAAAAAGCACCAGCAGGTTAATCTCCACATATAATGAAGCCTCTAAATACAAATACTCCAACCTGATATTGCTTAAGTACTTAGAAATCTGGGGTGTGAATGCTGATCCCACCCAGCTTTAGTGCAAGGTCCACTCTGAATGCCGGCAGATACCTGTGAGTAACAGAAATCCCATCTTTCCCTAAAAAGGTGCATGAAAAGGGAAYRCAGGATGCTGAATACAAATAACACAGAAGATGAGAAGGTACTTGCCAAACTAAGTTATTTTGTTGAGCACATTCCTGTGCCAGGCAATGCTGGATAGTAATTTGAAGCAAAAAGTGACAGAAATGGTAAGAGAAACACAAACAAGTTTTTTGGAAAGAACAATCCAGCAAAAAGACAATTATCTGAAGTCTTACTGTCAGGAACCAAATAAAATAAAACAAGAAACCTTTGCTAACACATTGAAGTTGTCTGGTTAGATGTGCTCTGCTGCCAGGGCACAGCTCCACCATGCACCTATCAACAGAATCATGCCCTTTACAACCAGGGGAGACAGCAACCAAAACTATCTTTCAAAAGCCTTTTATAAGTTACTGAAATGGTTTCAAAGAAAGTTCCATTTTACTTACCCCCAACCACAAACAAACTTTATCTGTAGGAGGAACTGAAGCTTTGCAGTAGAGATTATCTGCCAATAAAAATCTGGTTTCCATTGGATGTGTGGAATCCTTAAGACAAATGATAAAACTTACAATTGCTATTTTCACTGGAAACTTAGGCCAAAGACATAAAACTTAGAATAAAGAGCACACTTTTCTTTTTGCCATTGGTACAGTATTAACTTGGGTGAAATTCTATGTAACTTTACTTCAACATTAAAGTTAGAGCTCCAAAAATAATGCATTTTTAAAAGACATATTTAAAAACAATACAGAAATCCCTATGAAGAACGGAGATGAAGTCAAAGCTTAGCTGCAATCTATACACTATTAAAGTGAAGTTTGCATTACAAACATTAACTTTTTTTGAACCAGCTTTCAAAAAGTACTACATACCTTTAAAAACAATTCTGTTATTTATAAAGGCATATTAAGTGTGCTCTCCAAAACATTTCTTGCAATGTGTTCTGTTAGGGTGGAAAGGTAGTTAGCTTTTCTCATACTCATTAGATATTCAAAATAGTTTACCTTTTTCTTCTGCATGTGTTTTAAAATTTCTAATGTCTGTTTAATTTCAGGAATCTGACTTTTTAGCCTGTGAATTAACAACAGTCATAATTTATTATTTTACAGAGACACAAAGTTTCCTAAACAAGTGATCAGTTTTAATATACAGTCCACCCTCCATTTTAAAATTTGCAACTCTTAACAGCTTTTTCCAGGCTTACAAATGCAGATTTGAAAGACACGGYATGTAAAGGCAGCTCAGCTCCAGCTTCACCTGCCCCTCACAACACCGAGGCTGGCTGGCTTTGGAAGCACAGCATTCTGCTCAGCTTTTACACAGGAACAACATACAGTAACAGTAACAGACCCCTTTTTTCTAAAATGATACATTTTGTCTATTTATAATCTCCCAGAGGAGAGGGAAACCTCAGCAGAAATACAGGTAGAAACYACTGCAGGTGAAACAAGTGTGTTTCTTCTGAGGTTCATGGACTGTTCTGACAGTGAAAGCCACAGGACTCAGCACTGCTCAAGTGAAATCTCTCCAGAGCTGAGGGCATCGCTCTCCCCAACAGCCCGGGCAGAGGCACTGGGATCCCCATGGCCWTCCTGGCAATTAGACTTCATATTTAAAAAAAAAAGAGAACAGTGCTAAACACTTCCCAATTCTGCAAAAATTATGACTTACCTCCTTTTCTTCTGAGCAAGATTAAGTTCCAAAAATTTATACTTCTGATACTGCTCATCCARCTTCTTAAGAACTACATCTGCTGTCTCATTTCCAGGCTGTTTCATAAAAGAATCTACATCTTCCTTTAAAGAGAGAAAGAAACCCTCAGTGTTAGTTTTACAGAAATCCTAGACACAGACATGCTATCATCTTACTGCAGCTACATACAGAGGTTGTTTGAAATGTAAAAAAACTTCTTTTCTACACTGAAGTGCAAAAGGATTTTGTTTCTTTTTTAGTCACCTCTTCACTTCCTCCTCCCTACTTTTTTTTGTAAGTAACTAAGTGACAGGTGCACAGATTATTTAATAACCATGTCTGTAGGTAGCTGGTTAATGGTGTTATGAGTCCTGGCTGATGTCAAGTGACACCTTAGAGGGGTGGATATCCACAGAACATGGCTAAACCTGGGTTTCCTACCTATAAAGCAGGGCTAATGCTTCTCCCTGGCTAATCAGATTACAAACTATTTAGGATAAAACTGATGAAGGAAAAGAGTCACAGCCTGAGCAAGCATGTTGTGGCAGAGAAAGACATAAAGGGGGAAAACTGGGGTTATTGCTCYGACAGGCACTAAGGAAGTGAACAGCCTGGTTTCCAGAGTTCCTTCTACAGTCAGCAGKAAGCCACAGAAACCTCTGGGGAAAAACTCCAGCCAGTCCTACCATCAACTGGAAAAGCTGCCAGAGAAGACAGGCCTGAGCTGGCAAGGGTGTCAGCTTTGGCATGTATCTCCTTCAGAATCAAGGAAGCAACTCACCTGGGGACMATGCTCCCAGCCTCTGAAAGGTACTTCAGGCCAGAGATCAACCACACGCTTCTGGCCTTGCCACCATCTACACACATAGTTCCAGATGACCCCAGTCCCCCACTGAGGTAATTCTGCCCAAAATTGCCTGCACAACTCAGTAAAACCTGATGGAAGCCCTACCACAGGCCTCTTCAGCTCCTCCTTTTGAACCTGTGTCTCCATTCCAGAAGTTCCACAACAAAGACTGTAATATGTTACTAAAGGGGTATCAGGCATGGAGCTGCTCTCCCTCATTAGGATGCCTTAAYTCTCTTGGCTAAAGAAACTTACTATGAAATTACTAAATGTGGTAAGAAGTCTYTGCCTTCCTTATCAAGGAAATCTGTTGCAGAAACATGAACTCCAGAACCTGCAGCAGGCAGCACTGTCCAGGTGGTAGATCCAAACTCAAGAGACTGCAGACTGCCTGAGGAATGCCTCAAGCTACCTCTAAGTCCAGGAAGCATTCGAAGAAGGATAAAGCTCATAGAGAAGCTTTCAACAAAGAAAACAGGGATTAAGTTTGGGAAAGTGTTGTAGGAGTGAGGCCTGAGGGCATTGTGAAATGAAAGTCCCTACTGTAGAAACAGCTCTGCTCGTTTAAAGCACTAGGGGCAGAAAGCAAAAGCAGCAGGGCAGCAGCTCCCCCTACTCCAGAGCCTGGCACCCAGCTCTGCCTCAGCTCCCATCTGTGCACACGGACAGGACACAACCCACACCCTCCTGAAACAAAGATGCTGAGAAGTGAATCTGGAAGTGAATACAGGCCCTCTTTATACTGGTGATCTCCTTCCACTATGTAATGTTCCAGTTGAAGGCGGGCTCAGATTTATCCCCAAGGTTTTCCAGCTGGGGCTTCCAAGCCTGCTGGTCAGGCTCTTGTCCCACCTCTCATTCTGCAAGGCTAAGGAACAGTCATTTCTTTACGCTCGAGCAGAACGGCTTTGAGGCACAGTTGGCTGTCAAAGCCATTAGGATCCCTGCTTTGTGGTATATTCCACAGAACCTCAACTACAGAATCACCTTACAGGCTCACCAAGGCCATGCAAAACTCATCTCTATCTTTCTAGGAGGAAAATTCACTGGCAAAATACCATTTTGCAAAGYTCAAGCCAAGCCACAGTAATGTTCTGTAGAAGCCCTGAAATGCAGCAGGATAGCGCATTGCCACATCCCTTCTCTGAGTGGTGACCCAAATAAAGAGCTGCAGGCACTCACTCTGCAGAGCTTCATCACCTGGGGGCATGTGCAGTAAACATGACAAGAGACACGTGTTTGMAGATTTGCATCCTCATACCTGCTGAAGAAGGCAGAACAAAGAAGGCATTTTATTTGGAAATRTCTGGGCAACAGCTCAAAACCACCAGAGATGAAAGTTCTATTTGGAGAGTTTGTAATGCAGTAAAACCCTGAGTCTTAACCTCCCCTACCCTGAGTGCTTAACATCACTTGAAACTTGGAGAGAGACAAGAATTTACAGACCCATTGACTCAGACAAGACATCAGCCATAAATTGCGTGAAGAGCCTCTTCTGAACCAAGACATTTACAGAAAAAAATCTCTGAAGACAAGATTCACAGTAAGGCTGCCTATGCAGCATGCGAGGCGGGGGGCAGAATGTGGGGCAAGTGATCAGCAAGTCTTTAAATGTTTTTGAAATAGAAACCTATTTTTTGAAGGAAAAAAAAAAAACTCTAGTAAAACCTACACTCACTACAATAGTGTTTTTACTCTGCAGAGAAGAATATTATTACCACTTCTTAGAATAGGCTTATTTTGAATAAAAGGTCTGTCTGAACATCTCCATCAAGTACTCCATGATCACCATCAAGCAGCTCTTCTGCAGACACATCTGTATTTAATCACAGCACCTCTCAACATTGAGMATTAGAAAACTTCCAAGGGGTTGAGATCCAGACATAAGGTTATCAAGAACTGAAGAGAAGCACAGGATGAAGGCACAGAATTCTCCGAGCTGCATGGTACAGCWCACAAGATACTTCAGACATGGGTGTTGAAACAACATGGAACCAAACAGCTACAAGGACAGCCACTAGCATGGAATGAGGGACTTGACAGATGCCCTTAAAGTGCTTGCTGAGGCTGMTTGTCTTCTGTTTCCTGCCAGGGTGGCCACCTGCACTGCAGAGTCAGCACAGACTACAAGTTTTCCTTTCACAAGTCAGAATCAATGAGGTTTCACAGGGCAGCTGAAGATATGGCYCAACCCTTTCACTTCTCTCGCATCTCTGCTGGTCTCCCACAAGGCATGGAAGGAAGTTAGCTGGAAGCAGYAATGCTTCCAGCCCAGTAAGGATTTGCCAGACCCTAATGATAGTTAAAAAACCTTGAAGATAAAGGAGGAGCTGGATCACTGAAAGCACTGTACCTTTAGGTCAGGCCTTTTGCCAGACAAAACATGTCAGCAATACACGCACTACATCTAGAAACACCAAAATGCAAGTCAAACCAATTTATTTCTATAAAAGCAGTTGTATCAGATGGGGCAGACATCCATCAGTTCCCGAGATCACCAAGACAGCCAGGTATGGACGCTCTGATCAATAGTTATTGATCAAAGGAAATAAAGCAGCAATCAAGACAGGGCATCAAGAGGTTGCTCACAGCTGACAGTTAACAGATAATTGCAAGATTATGTCACTGCRTAAGTCACTGATTCCATCTTCTCAACCACGCAACAGAATTATCAAATGCCTGGTACATCAGTTTTTACAGCTGGATATACAAGTTCTGCCTGTTTTACAAAAGACACACATTTATTGTTTTTCAAGAAGAAGGACACACGGGCACTTCTGAAGAGTTTATCTTCTCAGCAGTCCAAAACTGGATTGAGAGACGAAGATGTATGAAAAAGTGCYTGGTGCACGGCACGCTATCTGTAGAACAGAAGTGGTAAGGCGTGCCCCGTAAGGAGCCCTCACCACACGCTGCTCACTGCCCTGAGTCGGGAAGTGCAACAACACGATACTGCTTAACGTGGGGGGCTGAGCTTTTCATAAGGTGCATTACTGTTCATTAACGCCAGGTCGGATCGAAACACTGCAACTCAGCCCGGATAAGGCCCAGGACTGACGCCCAGAAGGGCATCCGCCATCCGCGCCCCTCGGGCACCGCCCGCGACCCCGCCGAGGAGCCGCCTCACGGGGCCCGGGCCCGTCTGGCGGCGCACAGCCCCCACTCCTCGGCCTCGCTCCTCCTCAACGGCGCCCCGGAGATGCCCGGCCCCACTCCCCGGGCCTATTCCTCATAAACGCCGCCTCGGSGTTGCCCAGCCCCGCTCGCCAGCCCCGCTCACCACGAACGCCGCCTCAGGGATGCCGAGCGGGCCGCGCCTCCCGCCCGCCGCTGCCGCTGCCTCGCTGCCTCCGGTCGCCGCCATCTTGGGGAACCGACGCTGCGTGCGCCAGGACGCCGGGGCCGTGCGTCATCACGTCAGCGCCGCGAGGGAGGCGGGGCGGGCGGGGCTGAGGGCGGAGTGAGGGACGGGGAGGATCCCGCAGCGGTGGGTGGGAACGGGGAGGATCCCGCAGCGGTGGGTAGGAATGAGGCGGGTCCTGCAGCGATGGGTGCGAACGGGGAGGATCCCCGAGCGGTGGGTGGGAATGAGGCGGGTCCTGAAGCGGTGGGTGGGTGTGAACGGGGAGGATCCCGGAGCGGTGGGTGTGAACGGGGAGGATCCCGCAGCGGTGGGTG